GTTTGAAATCAGCCTGTTATCAGCAAGCCCTTCACTGCACAGTGACAAAAGGAGAGGCGGGAATCCTTCGAACTGTGTTCCAGCTTGTGCATTTTCTTTAGGAAAGAGCTGATTTTAATCCCTACATTCATTCTCCATATGAATGCTGCAGAATTTCTTTCTGCAGACTACCCAGTGTGAATGGAATTTTGTGAGAAACTCTGATTTGGCCTTTTTCCTTTCAGACTTTATGCTTGTGGCTAATATTTCATTGGAGATAAAGTTGTTCTGATTGTTTTGCATAATGTCTATATATGACATCCCACTCATCCCCTTTAAAATCTAATCCAAGAGACAAGTCTGTTGTGTCAACATGTTTCTGTGGGTTTTGTTTTTTCTTTTTCATTACTGTATCCTCCCAAAAGAAAAATAAATTGCTTATCTACTTCTGCATCTTATTTCCAGTGCCAGATCTTGCAAGGTGTTTCTTCACGCCTTTTGCCAACCATGCTTTGAAGGAAGGATCTATCCACATCAATGACTGAATAGTAAAGCATCAAGTCAGTTTCTTCATGTATTAAATTTGAGTCTTAATTTGGCTTAATGAAGTGCTGAGCTGGACTATCCTTCCTTGAATCTAATTTGTCTTTTAAATATGAAATATTAATTAGAGAAAAGTGAGACAGCAACTTCAGCTGTGAACAAAGACAATGCATGAAATCTGTTCAGTTTAATTCCACTAATCCACTTTCTGAGGTTCTGTTTAAAGCTTGCCATCTTCACAGGACACACCTCAGAGAACCAAGCATCATGTCAAAATTAGCTTGCTTTTAATACTGTTTTAAACCATCATGTGAAGAAAACTAAGTATGCACAAGCGTAACTGGGATCCCCTCGAGGGGCGCATGTAGCTGTGGTTTTGTGAGAGCCACTTGGAGTCAGTGCTCACTTGCAGAGTGAGGGCTGGGCGCTGGTCCTGGGGTGCCGGCCCTGTCCCCTCCAAACACCACTTGTACTGGGGAGTGCAGCTTAGAGCAGTGGGTAGAGCGGGGCACTGCAGGCTGAGGCACGTGACAGACGGGGGGGAAAAAGGGAAGTGGGGCTGTAGGGTGTCTGTGGCTGCTGTCGGTGCGCACCCTAATCTCCTATATTGGTCACCAGCACGCCACATAACCCCATCTTTGGGGGAATGCAAGTTCCTGGCATCACTCCTAAATACCAAGTGCATATGTAGCCAGGGAAACAACAAATTTTTGACTACTTCAGAAATGGGAAAGGAAAGCATCACACAGTTTGGGCGCTGGCTGTGTGTCCCCAGTGCATTTCTCAGAACCAGAAGGTGTGCAGAGAGATGAATGCTGACTGTACTGGTCACTTGGTGAGACTGTATTTTTGGAGGCTTTATGCAATGCTAGAGAGCAAGAGAAGGGGGAATGTGGGAAAGATGCTCTGCCCTGTGTGGCACTCTGATGATACTGGAAATTGGAAAACAGGTAATGGGATTTTTCTATCTGGATCAGCCTCTGGCTGTCTTCTGCATGTTCAGGAAATCACTTTACATCTCTGCTTCCATTTCCTTGGCTGCCAAATGAACATAATGATAACTACCTCTTCTGAGTGCTCGTGCTTCATTAGAGCAATAAAACATTTCAGAGGAAGGAGTCATAGATGTGTGATTTATTAATCCAGCAAGGTCAGACTGAACTGCCTGTAAACAGCAAAAGAAATTGCAGAATGAGGGAGAGGTCTCTTGGAGCTGAGTGAATGCCGATGCTCGGCATGCTGCCAGTGAGCAGGATTGCCAGGGAAGGTGAAGCAGATCTTTCAAGTCTTGCCTGAACAGGGAGCCAGCTAAAAAACACGTATTTTTTTTCTCACCTGAGGCGTATCAGCTCACTGCAGTGACTCCTTGGATGCTCCATGCACCTGTCTATTATTTTTTCCAGAAAGAGTTTTTGTTTGTTCATTTCTTCTGCATGGACGTTTTGTTAAGATGCTCTGCGTGGCTTTTTCTGTATGTATGACTAGTTGTGATCTGATTTTATGCATGAAGACAATAAAATAGAGTGAGTCAAGAAGATACTGAGATAAACAGATGAACAATGTTTATAAACCATGAGAGCCTCCTAAATTTGATAACCATCAGTTCTAGCCAATACGTCTCGTGGTGCTTAAGGAAGAAGAAATCAATATTACAGAAGCTTTTACAGAAAATTTATGAGCACGCTTTGTTCAGGAGCAATCCATGAAGACCAAAGCACAGCTAGCACTAGGTGCTTATAGAAGGGCTTAAAGACAAGTCCCTTGCTGAATTCACAAATTTTTTAAGGGCATTAAATTAGGAAATATGGAAACGGGCTTTAATTTTGTTGTTGTTGTTGTTTTAGTTTAGCAGGGTATTTGCAGAAGGAGAAAGTGCTGTAATAAATCACGAAACTTCTTTGAATACTGTGGCTGAATAGACAATAACAGAGTAACCTAGTCTCTGCCAGAGTTATGAAGCATACCTGCTAGGGTTTGTATTTCATGGGATAAGTGGATTAGTATGAACTGGTTCTCTAGTAGGACTTTCCTCCCACAACAAAATCCTTAAGATAGAATTTCACTGTATTTAGGTACTGCTTTCCAATTAAGACAAGGTTGTAGCGTACATTGGCATTGCCATGCCAAAGCCAGGATATTCTTTTGATGAGCACAGAAGCCATTTTCTAACTACAACGCTGCATATTCTCATGTACCCTGATGCTTTGATCCGGGTTTAGCATATTTGCTGCTAACACTGGTAAAGAAACATTGGCACGCCACTTGCTGGAGAGCAGACCAGGCGTGCGGACCCTGCGCTTGGTCCCAGCACACAGCTGCTGGCTCTTGGAGGAGTTGTGAACTTGCCCCTGCTGTGGCCACAGAGGACCCAGGCATGGTCCTACTCACGGCTGTGAATCAAAACTGGGGAATGTAAAGAAGAGATGAGTGGTTGGTGGGAAGTTACAGGGTGTTAAGACATGCCCTCCGAGAGCTCGATTCCTGCTGAAGGATTCATGTGGCTGCATGTGTGGCACACTTCTCTCCCTCTCTCTCTGTAGTGAGAGTTACTTCTTATTTGTACTGTAAAAGCTTAGTTAAAAGCACCAGAATCAAGGGAATATTTAGTTGAAGAGATCATCGCCTAAGTCTCACCTATGTTGCACCTTTTTGCCATACTGCCCCACGATGTTTCCCTCATGCTTATCTTAATTTTGTGCTGGTAGCACACAGGAGCATAAAATGCCAAAATAACACAAGAGAGCTGGGTCTGGAGGATCCTTGTAATGCTCCAGCCTGGGAGCCTTGATCTGTTTCTCTGGGTAAGATTAAAGTAAGCATTTTTGAAGGAGGGAATAGATGAGGCTTTGGATGCATGATGGGTTTACGGAGTTCAAAATTCTGTTCCAAACTGATTTCTTATTCTTGATTACTAAATAGCATCAGTGGTTTCAAGTTGCAGCTAAGACAAAAAGGGCTGGTTGTTAACCTAGTGTGTTGCCCAGTTGAAAAGTTAAAAAGCGCCTCTCATTAAATTATTTGTATTTCACTGTGGTTTGCAATACTGAGTGATAGAAGTGAAATTTGCATCTGGACGTCCGAAACGCTGGAAGTTTTTGTAGTTTTTGTTTCCCCTTTGCTTTGCTTTGTTTTTGTTTTTTTTTGGGGGGTGGGGGGGGGGGGAGGAGGCTTGTGTAAGATTTCATCTGTGATTGTGGGCATCAGTATGGCTTTGTTAGCACTATCTGCTTCTCCAGGATAGCTCCTTGCACACTCTGCTGTGCGGGTCACGGGTTTCACGTTTTCTCCTGTACCTCCCAGAGGCCTCTCTGCAGTGATGCTGAGAACTTGCTGGTCCCATCTCGTATCGCAGAGGAAGGAGGTATTGGACTGAAAACCAACAGCAAAACCACATGTAAAAATGTATCTCTGCTCATTGGCAGTAATTTTGTGCCCTCAGGCAAGGTGACGGTGGCATGCCCTTGCACCAGCAGTTAGCTAGACAAGATCAATACATACAAGAGGAAGAAACAGATACATAACAGATCAGAAATACGTAACAAATCAGAAAGAGCATGTATTTACAAGTCCTGATGGTGTGTTGTGTTAGTGATCTCTCTGGATGCCAGCATATGATAATGGGCAGCTTCTCATTGTACAGCAGAGGTACAGTAATGCTATTACCGGTCTCCAGAGAGAGGCAGGATGGCTCGTAACACATAGCGTTACCAATTAGGTGAAAGTAAAGCAAAGGATCTCCATGTGTTGTTTAAAAACATACTTGGGCTCTCTGTGTACCTTGTTTCAGGTTCAAAGCTGTGCTTTCCCAGAAATCAAACTCCCTGGGACTTGACCTTTCTGCAGGGTTGTTTACCAAACGGCTTGTGATTTCTGTGTTGTTGCTTTGCTGTTTCCCTGCTGCGGCTGGAAGCGAGCGCTGCAGCGTCTCCACCTTAGCCTAGGATTCTGGTGCCAGACTGCATGAGGGCATTGGTCACAAGCTAGCAATTTAGACATTAATACTCTTTCAGCAATAAAAACCATTACTTTGATCTCCCCCAGGGAACTATCCAGTCCTTGTGCATGCACACTCTTTTCTTCTAATCTCAGTGGTAGCAGGTTTTTTTGCTAAGGCACTTTGTTTTAGTGAATCATACATATCAAAGCATATTTTCCTCATCCCTGTTCTCTCAATCCTGTTGTTTGTGTTTCCTTCTTGTTTCTCTCATTAAAACGTCTCTACTTCACTCTCATTTTCTGCTAAGTATTTGAAAAATCAACAACTGTAGGCGCAGAAGGAATTTCTGCCAGTGTGAACTGTATTGGTAAGTGTTTGACATGGCTTGCTGAGTAGGGACGGGGGGGCAACGGGGAGCGACTTCATTCATCAGCAGCTTTCCAGCACTTGCTTTGCTTCCTGTTTGCAGGCAGAGCTTTCAGGCAGCCGGTCCAGCATTTCTCTAATCTCTAAATGCACGTCTTCCAAATGTGTTCCACAGGTGCCAACAAAAAAGCTGAAGAAATATGAGAAAGAGTACCAAACAATGCGAGAGAGTCAGCTGCAACAGGAAGATCCCATGGACAGATACAAGGTACGGGAGATGCTGTACGGGAACTTGGTTCGTTGGCTACATTCTGTGGGAAGTGATCCAGTTCTAGCAGTTAAGCAGAGGTACGTGTACCACGCTCACCTCTCTAGGATATGCTGATGCAGATTTTAGGGAATTAAAATGGCAGGTGAAACTCATCCCCTTTCTTGAAAGAGCACTTTGAACGCTTGGACTTAGTGTTTTACAGGAGTATTTGAATCACAATTTGTTACTCTCAAGACATCTTCAAATAGCCACATATAATATTTTTCTTCTTTCAGTTTATATGTTTGTAGGTAACTCTCCTGCTGTTGCACTTTTACGGGAGATCTTCATGAGACGCAGAAACAAAGGGTGATTCTCAGCTACAGACACAAAAAGGAGAAAATACACATTGTTCTAGCACAAGCTGTGTGCAGTAACATCCACAGAGACTTTTGGAAGATGAACTCTTCCTTGACTGATATGATCCTTGTTTTTCATCTGTTTGCAGGAAATGTTAGTAATTTTTTTTTGCTAATATGATGGCTAGTACAGTGGGATCCTGAGCTTGCCTGGAGTCCTAATGTACTACTGCAGTAGAATTCATAGTAATAAATATCCTGCTTTAGATCAGCAGAGGAATAGAGCTTCAGTTATTCATATGATAACTTGATAGTTCACCAAAAAAATAATAGTTTTTAAATTTTGGATCAGTATTGCTTATCATTCTGGTGTATTTATTTTATTGTTACTGCTACATTCTGTTGCCATAGATTTTTGTGTGATGGAGGTTCTGCCTCTATGTTTACACTTTACATAGAGTTCAGGATTCATTTATTACTTGCTTATTTTAAAAAGAGGTTAGATTTCCTTAGGTGAAGCTGCCAGAATTGAAGCACTTTACTGCATATTGCCCAGTTTTGCTGGGAATTGATGTTGCTTACACACACCTGTATTGTTATCCTGCTGTTCTTCATTGTGCCTTATTATGTGAAGTGACAATGCTGTTGGTATAGAGAATGCCTGGAATGTGGAGTAGTAAATAATAGGGCGTGCAAAGGTTTACACAGTATGTGAACGTAAGGAAAGTACACCATGTTCAGAAAACCACAGTGTGAAAACCTGTGGCAAAAGACTATGCCGTGCTTCATAAATAGGATGAGATAGAGTTGCAGTTACAGAGAAAGTAAAACTGACTTTTTTAATTTTTATTTTTTTAAAGTATTTACCTGTGAACATCAATGTTTTAAATATAGTTTTTTATGTTAAGGAGTGTACGTTTTATGGTTCATGAGGACCGGGACTGCTGTAGCAGCCAAGAGTTGTTAACCAGAAAATTTCTATTAAAAAAATAAATAAATAAAAATTAAGTGGTTCACTCATGCTACTGTGGAATTAAAATAATGCTTAAAACAGAAAGAAGGCTTCTTTAAAGCTCTGGAGGAGCACCTTAACTAGTTAATCTTGGGCAACTGGTGGTGAAGAATATATCCTCGTTTGCAGTTGGGGGATAATTAAAAAGTGGCTCTTTGGCCCCTGCGTGTGTGAGTCACTGTCACAGTCAAGATCACTGCCCAAGTTTGGGCTTGTACTTTTGTAACTCACTGGATTGGTTCTGCTCTTCTTACTGATGCTGTGATTAGAGAGAGGCTCCATAACTGGTTAGCTTCACATTAAATGCACAGTTTGGACTCATTTTTCAGCTGACGGATGTCATGGAGAAATGCTTGTAAGTGTTCTCTGCTTCTTGTCTTGCTTGATTTTATTTGTGTCAGGCTGAGATTGGTGGGAATGGACATTTCCATAGTGTTTCCTAGTGGGCAGAAAGTAAAAAGTCAGCTTCACTTGTCCCTTAAAAGATCATACAGCAGCCCATATGCTTACAAATGCATTTTGTTTTGGCAGCGTCAGTGCTAGACGCTGTCCAGCTGGGCTTGGTTTGGGAAATAACTGAGTCTCCACTGCTTTGAAGAGCTGGTATTGCCTCTGAGCACAGCATTGCTGCTAGCTCCCTCTGGCCTTGCATGCTCTCTGCCTGGGCTGTGCCCCCAAAGCCCACGTTGTTACACTTTTTACAGCTTCTCTTCCAGAAAAAAATGTTATTTTAATTTACTACCCAGGAAGGAGGTGTTCCTTAGATGCATGGAGATCCACGCCGAACACTCCTCTTCTAGGTCGAGGAGGAAACATGCTTGCAGTTTGTTGACAGTTTTTAGTTATAGCTTTTACAGATTTGTTGTTTGCAGCGTATCACAGTTCTTGTTGCCAAAAGAGATTTGTTGGGACTATAGAGGTGTACCACAGCAATGGGGGTGTGTTGGCACTTCGGAATTGCAGCAAGGAAGGACGTCTCCCTGTGAAATGACCTTCTGGGCTGAGGAGCCCCAGGAAAAATGCCCTGTGTCTGAGGGCTGAGGGCAGCAGGGGTGTATCCAGCCAGCTGGCAGCTGCTGCTCCAAAGCCACCAACCTGAGTGCTCCGTAAGCTCCAGAAGAGGGCTGGTTTTGTGAAGCCAGGCCTGCCGTTCACCCGTCACGTTTTCTTGAGAGGTTGAGTTCATGTGCTACAGTAAGATGTGTTACATGCCACAGGAGTTCCTGCGCAGCTCCTGTTTCACATGCTGATTGCAGTAGACTTGATTTACCAAAAGAACAGTATTAAAGAGAGCAATAAGGTTTGGTGTTTTTCTCCTGTATTTACAAGTATTATGTAGGAAAAGTGTTTTGTTTTTTTGTGTTTTTCTTTTTTTTGGATGTTTTCACAGTCAACTAATTTTATCTTCTATTACACATAACAAGTTATCACTCATATTTTTGTCAGATTTTAAAAGGGTGTAAAAGTAAACAAGTTCTAAACTCCTGTTTGCCACCAGTTTTCATGATTTTTAGTTAAAATAAATTAAAAATTGCCTATAGAAGTCAATAAAAAAGTGACCTGTATGTGCAGAAAAAACAGCAATATGATTCAGATTGATATTTTTCTATATTTTTTTTTTCCGTGTTTGAGAACAGAACATCTCATGTAACAGGGTTGTGGTTGATTTGATAAGAAACTGCTGAAGTTGGATCTAGGAATCTTTGAGTTTACATAAAAAGGATATGTTCATGCAAAGTTGGCTGGAGTTTTCCAGTCAGACCCTGCCTGTGCCCAGGGTTCTGTTCTGAAGGTAGGAATGCATTTTCATCTGTGGACTTTGTTGCGTGACAGAGATGTTGTCTGTCTGAATAAAGGTAATTTGGAGATAACAGCCTTTTGTGTCTTTGAAGTGGAAGCAAAAACTAATACACTGGTCATTTTTATTCAGAGTCCTGGTAACTGCCATGAGGAAAAATGTAAGGTAACTACTGATGTAGATTTTTTGTTTGTTTGTGGTTTTAAGAAAAAGGAAAGGGAAAAAAAAAAAGTGCTATGGCACTTCTGGGAATATTTTTTGAGTCAACAAGCAAAAAACACAAACCACCTCCGGGTGCCTGAGTTTTGCTTCCCATGAAAGGTTTTCCTGGACAGTTTGCTGTAAGAGCCTTTTGGCTTTCTAGGTGGCGCTTTACAGGATTTTCCTTCAGAGCTGCCTTCACAAGCCAGAGCTCTTTCCAATGGGCTTACAAAGACCTCAGTTTGCTTGCATCTAGGAAAGTGAATTTTAATTCATGCTGTCATTCTGCCACTGAGGACCTGTTCTTGCCCAAAGATCTGTGGTTTGGGTGTTTGTTCATCAGCAAATGTGACACTGAATTGCTTAACAAGGTTTGTGACTCATTACACCCAGCTTGAGTAGCAGCATAGAGAGAATACCTCATCATCACTAGTCATGTCTGGTATCGCTCCTTCATGCTGGCTGGATGGGAGCAAAGGGTGGAGTCTAAGCCTTTCGGTCTTCCTGGGCTGAGGCTTGCCTGCTGCTCTCAAGTTTGTCTTCTTTCTGTCAAGTACGTAATGGAAGTTGGAGAATATCCTCTTTAAAAATAGGAACCAAAAACCTACTGAAGATTTGGCTATTTTATTTTATTTTGGCTACTTTTGTTGGTATTAAAAATTATTTTATATCCTGTTTTCACTGTCTTTACACCAATGGTTGAAAGCAGTATTTGGTCTGTGACTTTACTGGAGGTAAGTTTTTTTTGTGTTTGTCCGTACCAGCGGTGTTTGTCCCTTTTGGAAATGCAGTATCCTCCTTTTAAAAGAGTTCACCAGATGCCTTTTGTAACAGGAAAGAGGAATTTAGGAAAGAGGGAATCTTGTGTTTTAATGATTGTAGAAACCTAGAAACTGGGTGATACTGAAGAGAAGGAAATTGTTGGCATAGTCAGTAAATTGTTAGTGGTGTCTGAAGAAAAGGCAGGGAGCTGTCAGTTTACACTGAGGATAACTAACAGGTCTGACTAGTTGGCTAATGTCAGGTTACAAAATACTGCTTGCGAGTCCTGCTATAATGAACCAGCTCCATCTATTGAGCTTCATTCCATTGCAACTGGTATTTTATAAAAACCCTGTGTATATCTCAGAGGCATCAGAAGTAATTTGCTAGATACAAAAAGCACTGTTTGATATTTTTGTCTTCATTGTGTAACGTTAGGTTTTATTTAGACGTAAGCAGATAAGAGTTTCCTCCTGAGGAAGGAGGCAGTTTTTCACTGCTAGATCTGGGGGGAGGAGCTGGAAAGGACAAACCATCTAATCGCACATACTGCCCTGTGTGGAGGAAGAGTAAAGGTGGCCCAATGAGAGACTCAGCTCTTAGATATTGACTGGATGTCCAAGGTAAGAGATATTTAACTTATTAAAAACATACCATGTAAATTTCAGTTTAAGAGGAGGATAGCGCATTTCCAACCACGTAGCTTGCTTTCCACTTGTCTGCGAATGCAAAGCAGGAACTCCGAACTTCACACCGTGCAGCTTGCTTTGCGGACACAGAAGCTTTTGGCAAAAGCATAGCAAAAACGTTAAAGCAAACTTCTTTCTGGGTTATTTTGTGGAAGTCTAAGAATTTGCTGATTTCTTGCTCTAAGCAACATCCCTACAAAAAGGTATTGGTGCTGTAGCACTTGACAGTAATACAGTCCTGATTTTGTCCCAGTTTCTAAGTGAACTTATGACTTTTTGGTAACTGCTCACTAACAGACCTGTGTCTATATAAACCAACACTTCTTGGATGGTCTGAACAAAATACAGAAATAAAGCTTCATTGGAGTTTTTTATTATTATTATTACTGAAGATAGCAATTTGCTGTTATGCTTTCAAGTATATATCATCCCTACAGGATAATTTTACTTTAAAAATTCCTTGTTTCAAATAGAATACGATGCGATTAAAAAAAAAATCCCCATAGTTAGGTGTCTTTTAGCAGTGGTTATTTTAATTGTGTGAAATCACAAGTATTTTAGGATTTCTGTAACAAAACAAAGTTATTTGAAGTACAGTCTTTTGGGGAGGAAATGAACTTACTTTCCTGTAAAGGGTAGTGCACAATCCACTTACACAATAATGTCCCAGTAAGAAGAAGGTATTTGCAGAGGTTCTGCTTCCTGCCACAGAGGAAGCTAAGACAAAGAAGAGACCTTTTTTAGCATCCTCTTAGAACTGTAGTTGCCCTTTTTTAAGACAGGCATGCAAAAAACTTTTTGAAACAGATGAAAAACAGTTGTTTCACTGTGGTGAGCTTTGGAAAGAATTATTTGAGCATAGCTGGTAAGCAAGAGGAAGTGAAGACTGGTGAATAATATGCTTATGCAAAGAAATCACATTTTGTAGGAAAACATTCAATGAGCAACTCTTGAAATATTTTTGCTGTTCTAAGTGCTGTTAATATTTTCCCTTTTACTGTATTTCTTTGGAGAGCATAACCTTTCAAGTGGCCTTTTTGAGATGTTAGCATGTAGGTTACTGTTTCTCCGTCTATAAACTTCCATGTGAACTTTGCATTTTTCTTGAATTTCCATAGCAAACAGATTCCCTTTCCAGTCTCTTTTGCAGTCACTATGTGACTGAAAGTCAGCAATTTTTTTTGCTCTCTCAAAATCTGTTTGAGAAGGGCACCTGTATCAGGCTCACCTTCTTCTGAAGCCAGGGGATTTGATGTGGACTCCTGGAAGTCCACCAACCTACAGATACCTTCTGAATATAATTATGCTTCTCAGCCCTAAATAACAGTCACATAAATTGATTTTTAAGAAACATGAATTGCTGGTTTTCTTTTTTTTCCCAATGCACTACCTTCACCAGTTAGTGCTCTATGTAGTCATTTCTGCCTTTGTGGAGTGGGTAGGAGGTGCCTGCAGTCTTGAAGGTCTACATTTTGTGTTGTCGTGCATCGTGGGCAGAACAGGTTCTGGACCTGTGCTCAGGGACTGATGTCCCCTCTCCATCTGGCACTTTTTCTCAGCAGGTGTCCTGTAAAACGTACCTGTTGTCACTGGTGCAAGTTACAGAGAAAGCGTACAGGTGGATGTACACGTTATATGAGTCGTAAGGAGTTCCCTTCTAAATGCTGTTCTTTACTGGTCCCACAGAGGACGAATGGTTGGTACCACAGCATCTCCAGAATGGACTATTTTTATGGATTGCCTGCAGATGAGGTTTTGTAAAATGGAGCAGAGGACAGCTTTCTGCATGGAAACGTTATTTCGAGTTATCTCCCTGGTCACTGCTGCTGGGTGGGATTTTATCTGTCTGATTCCTCCTCATCAAAAGAAATAAGAAAGCAGATGTTTTTATTGAGAGGACTGTGTTTACTTTTGACAGAGAAACCCTACAATCATCAGTGTGTCACTTATGTGACTCAAACATAACCATTGGGATGTAAGTGGAATTGCTGCATTTGCACTGCTGGCTTAATTCACTGTTGTTTCCCAGAGCAGCAGTCCTGTCTTAATGTGCACTCTTGCCTTATCAGTGTTTTATACATACAACATATTCACTTACTGCTCTTTAATATTGGTAAGAGTTAACTTCCTCTTTTGGTTGTTCCTTTCTTTCTGCAGAGGGAAAATCGCAGGCTCCAAGAAGCTAGCATGAGGCTGGAGCAGGAGAACGATGACCTTGCCCATGAGCTTGTTACAAGCAAAATTGCCTTACGGAATGACCTGGACCAGGTAATGCTGAAGGAGATGGCTCCAAACTCCAGCTTTGCAATGCTAGTTTTAGTAGCCCTGTTGTTTGCTCATGTGAAAGCATTTACACAAAATTAAAGCATTGGTATTTGTGCCTTTGTTTTCCTGACAACCTTAATTCTAGTTGCTGTGTCTCTACTTGGATGCAGGCAGAGGCATACACAGCAGTGTATTATTAACACTGACTGCACCTTCTCTGTTGCGGTTCATTTTACAAAATGTAAGCCATAATCTTTTAGGCAGGTACCAAAGAACAAACGTTTACTGGAAAAAGGTATCATATATTCCTCAAAAGAGCGATTTTAAGGGAAGTTGCTTTGCAGAATGTCTGCTACCTTATGTGGATCTATGTTTTTCACAGCAATTTCAGTATAGCCAACTAAATTAAAAGAGAATGAAGTGGTGTGGTATGGAATACAGGAGGGCCATATTCCACCACCCCTCATGATTAGCATCTTGCTTAGTGAAGGCTGTAGTGCCTCTTACAATGTAAAATCTTTTCCTGCAGGGGTCTCTCAATTTGATTTTCTGTATTTATTTGACTTCTTTATCTAACCTCAGAGTTGTAAACATCATTGGCCACAGTAGTATATTTCTATTTAGTCAGACCCTTGGCAGCTAGGTACTTCTGATATGGATTCGTGTGATTCTAAAAATCTGAGGCACCTTGGTGAGCAAGTACACACAGATAACCACTTTGCCTGCTGGAGTGGGCATTGCAGTGTAAAAGACAAAAACGCTGCATTGAGGTGCTCTGTCTTCCCCAGGAATAGCTGTATGTAAAGCAGTTTTATATCTGCTTCTGCCCCTGCTGTGTTCTGAAGTATCATGACAAAGCTGTTAGACGTACCTTTGCCAGCCCCATCCTTTGCTCTCCTGCATTTTAGCAGTTTCTCTGTAGATGAGTGGCTACATTAAGTGTTCCCACACCCCACCTCAGTTCAGTGGCACTGAAAGAAAAGCTTTGTGCTGCTGCACTTGCAAGGAGAGGTGATACCGTACACCATGGCAGGTGCTTGGAAAACCTGGAATGACCGTATAAAAGGAGGAAAGATTTTTAGTTGATTCTCCGAAGTATGTCCTAAACAAGTCTTTTGTCAAAAATACCCTTGTTATCCCTGAGCTCTTTTGTTTTGAGATGTCAGCCTTATCCCTCGTCTGTTCTATTGCTTCTCATTTTTCCTTTCTCCCATACAGCCTTGTATATGCAGTGAGCAATGCAGGAATCCTCAGTCTATCTTTTCAGACGAAGTCTTGGTGGAGCTGCTTCAGCTGCTCACAGTCACCACTAATACCCTCATTAATAATTAACACTGTAGCAGTAGATAAGCTAATACCATTGGTAGTAGAAAAAAACAAAGCGCAGGTCAGAGATAATATCTGCGCTGTTGTTGTTTGTAATACCATTTTCCCTCTTGTATTTCCAGCAAGTAAGTAATATTTGACTACAGTCATTGCCTGTTCTGCTCAGTAACTGGGTGGTGGAAGTGTTGTGGTGCGGTATGTATCTCCCAGTTGGGGAAGTCAACAGAATACATCCAGGTGTTGAAAAATACATTTCTCTCCTGGTGCTCAATCCAGTGATCAGTGAGGACAGTGCTCTCAGAATCCAAAAAATTCCCAGTATATATCTACATAAGCTTGGCCCCTTAAAGAAAGGAGAAAGTTTATATTCTCCAGTACGCATGCAGTATCAAGGATCTCCAGGAAGTAATTGTTAACAAACCTTTTTTTCTGGTGGTTCTCTTTGTCTCTTATACTTGTCTAAGCTCTGATGCTTTGTAAGGTACACTGCAGGCACCTAGCCTGAAAGATAGAAAAATTAAATGTTATCTGAAGTTACACAGGAGCTGAATCATGCTTCCTTCTCTTACATTAATATCATTCCCAACAAAAATATTTTATATATCATTTGTATTACGACATATGATCTGTGCTCACCTGTCACCTGGGTGTGGGTAACACTTGACAAAAGGGTTCTTTTCCACAGTTGAAGCACAAAGAAATAATTTAGAAAACAGCTACTTGAAAAGGGAATTTCATTTACAAAATAGGTTGGGTGAGCCATCGAGGGCAGGAAAAGGCAACTCTAGATCATGAAGCTGCAGTATTTGTGAGATATATACACACCAATACACTTATATTGGCACAGGTAACGCGATTTACACCAGTGTTTCTAATTCTAGGCTGAAGACAAAGCTGATGTTTTGAACAAGGAACTTCTCCTGACCAAACAGAAACTAGTGGAGACAGAGGAAGAGAAACGGAAGCAGGAAGAGGAAACCGCTCAGGTAAGGCATTCTCCAGTCTTTCCCACTAAGCTGAATGCAAGCAAAAGGATAATCTGAAAAGCATGAATGTATTGCAGTTACAGAAGGGATTTTTGTCTTCAAAATGCAGTGGCGATTAAAAGTTCAAAGTGCCAGGGTATTTTTTTTATAAATACATGTTTCAGTGTTTTCCTGAATGTCCAATTTTCCGTATCTTACTCCCTTCCCAGTATTATAACAATCATTTTCATAGGTGGTAAGCAGTCACAACTAAGGAGGCATGATTAGATGTCTCTTAATTATCTAGAGAGGGTTACTGGAGGAATTGTTGCCTTCTAAGAGGCTGCTGGTTCACTGAAACAAAGCTATGGGCATTCCTCTCAGAAGCTAGAATCAACAGGACAGAACTGAGGGTTGGAGTGATTTTGCTGCCCAGACCTGGCTTCACTCAATTGCAAAATGTTTAGTCTTAGTCTTTTGGTCCTGCATATCTTATGTGCTGAATACTGATGTACATGTAAGCATGCCTTGAGAATGATACAGGGGCTCTCATTTTTGCCATTTGACAACACTGACTATAACAATTGATATTTTTTCTTTTTTTTTTCCTCTCTGCAAGTTCTGTGGTTAGTATATAAAAGGCAATGGAGGCCTTAATCCTGCTGAGATGGCTCTCCATGTTTAGTGCTTCTGAACAGTGGAGGAATGAGTTAGCTGGCACAACTAAAACAGATTCTTGCTTCTGTTTCTCTTTGTCGGCAACTAAAAAGATTTTTTTCCTTCTGTTTTGGGGATGAGCGTGATAGTGCTGAGAGATTCTTCTCCTTGTTCCATCTCCAAACAATTTGTCTGCCCAAACCCCCTGAAAGAAAATTCCTGTACAGGACAGTTCTCTGAACAATGATACACTGTATCACAGTATAGACATTTTTTGTTATTGTAGATGTTTGTATATTGAGTAAATCAGACTTTCTACTTCTGAAGCACTGGAAATTGGTAAGAAAAAGATGTAGAGTTGTTGTAAACACAGCAAGACTTTGAGAGAACAATTTGATGATCACAGAATCACAGAATTTCTAGGTTGGAAGAGACCTCAAGATCATCGAGTCCAACCTCTAACCTAACACTAACAGTCCCCACTAAACCATATCCCTAAGCTCTACATCTAAACGTCTTTTGAAGACTTCCAGGGATGGTGACTCCACCACCTCCCTGGGCAGCCCGTTCCAGTGCCTAACAACCCTTTCAGTAAAGAAATTCTTCCTAACATCTAACCTAAAACTCCCCTGGCGTAACTTTAGCCCATTCCCCCTCGTCCTGTCACCAGGCACATGGGAGAACAGGCCAACCCCCACCTCGCTACAGCCTCCTTTAATGTACTTATACAGAGCAATAAGGTCACCCCTGAGCCTCCTCTTCTCTAGGCTGAACAAGCCCAGCTCCTTCAGCCGCTCCTCATAGGACTTGCTCTCCAGGCCCCTCACCAGCTTCGTCGCCCTTCTTTGGACCCGCTCAAGCACCTCGATGTCCTTCTTGTAGCGAGGGGCCCAAAACTGAACACAGTACTCGAGGTGCGGCCTCACCAGAGCCGAGTACAGGGGGACGATCACCTCCCTAGCCCTGCTGGTCACAGTGTTTCTGATACAAGCCAGGATGCCGTTGGCCTTCTTGGCCACCTGAGCACACTGCTGGCTCATATTCAGCCGACTGTCTACCATCACTCCCAGGTCCTTCTCTGCCTGGCAGCTCTCCAACCATTCCTCTCCCAGCCTGTAGTTCTGCTTGGGGTTATTGCGCCCCAGGTGCAGGACCCGGCACTTGGCCTTGTTGAACTTCATACAGTTGACCTCAGCCCATCGGTGCAGCCTATCCAGATCCTCCTGCAGAGCCTTCCTACCCTCGAGCAGATCGACACACGCACCTAGCTTGGTGTCATCTGCAAACTTACTGAGGGTGCACTCAATGCCGTCATCCAGATCATTGATGAAGATGTTAAAGAGGACCGGCCCCAGCACCGAGCCCTGGGGGACGCCACTAGTGACTGGCCTCCAACTGGACTTGGCTCCATTTACCACAACTCTTTGGGCCCGGCTATCCAGCCAGTTTCTAACCCAACGAAGCGTGCGCCAGTCCAAGCCAAGAGCAGCCAGTAAATGATGCATTTTGAAACCTTTTTTCAGTGTACTGTGTAACTTCTCTCCTTCAACTCCTAGCTGAAGGAAGTCTTCAGGAAGCAGCTAGAGAAGGCAGAATCTGAGATTAAGAAAACCACAGCCATTATTGCAGACTATAAACAGGTAATGGTTCTAAAGACACCCTCTTGTATTTATTTGTAAACTCTTTTCAACATGTCCTGAGAGCTGAACTTGTAGCTTATCTCATCCTTTAAATAAGATAAGTTATGTTTTAGGCTTTCGGAAAGCATTATAATTTGTGATAAATCTTTTTGATTTTCCTAATAGTCTGCTAATTTGGGGAATGAAGAATAACCCTTCTTTAAGCTATTTTGTGTACTGTAGGGTGAATGTTTCTTTGCTGTGTGACATAATGCAGTGGAAACATCATAAACCAGTTAATCAATAAAATGTTCCGGTGTCCATGTTCAGGTTCTATGTTGAATGCTGCCATTTTTTTTGGTCTCAATTATCCCCAGCAGTGGATTTGTTGAGGGGAAACATACGTACCTACCTGAGTGAGGCAGAATTTAAGAAATGTTAGCTCTAAAAAAAAAAAAAATGCTAAAAAGCTTAAGTAATATTTTAATCAAATAAACTTTATCTAAGAGACTGCTTTCTCTGTTCCAGATTTGTTCCCAGCTGAGTACCAGGCTGGAAAAACAGCAGGCAGCCAGTAAAGATGAACTGGAAGTTGTGAAGGTGAGAGTGATGCCTCTGCATACAGGACAGCTCTAACGCAAGTGTGGTCAGTGACACAAAACAAAAGGGGAAGTGAAATTTACTGCAACAACTGTGACATCCAAACAGCTGCACTGATAGCCCCATGTGCATTTTTCACACAATGTGAATGATTCAAGGGTGTATCTCCTTCCAGTGTTCTTTATCGTGTATCATACAGGCTGGAACTCTCAAACTGAAGTGCATATAGATTTTCATGTAGAAATGTATACTTTTGGCAAAAATGTACAGAGGCTGTATTTGCTTAGATCTTTTCTTTAAATGAAAACAAAAGATGCCTCTCTAGAGGAGAAAACGTGCTGCTACTCCAGCATGCATGCTGGAGGGGATCAGCGTTGCTATTAGGCCGCTGTTTATCTTTGGCTTTCTACACTTGCCTACTGTGTAAGTTAAGCAAAACAGTTTTAAGTAATTAGCACAACTTGGTTCATACCCAGAATTTCCATAGCAGTTCCTCCTCTCCCTTCTAGTATCTGCACTGATGGTAAATATTTCCTGATCAGGTAATAATTCCATCCCTTTTCTGTGTCACTACTGAGTAGGCAGAATCATTTTCTCTCTGCTGTAACTTCTATTTTTTTCCGTAGTACTCAAGCTGAACCTGATTTGTTGCTTTGTAGTAATTTTTATCTGTTATTCATCCAAAAATACACTAGTTTAGATGTTCCTATAATTTGCTGAACAGTTCAATATCCTGTGTTTGTTTGTGACCCAGGCCAGCTGTGCTGTATCTTCAGCCATGTGTCGCGTTAAAGGGGTGTAGCTGATTAACCGTTACGGGCCCGGTTGGATTCAGAGTACTGAACCAGTCGGACATTCACCAAAACTGGGGGTCCGTTCGGACATTCACCAAAAACGTAATAACCACCTGGGGGTCCGCTCAGACATTCACCAACAATGCATTAACCGTCTGGGGGTCTGGTTAGATTCAGAACACTGAACTATCACGGATAACCACCCTCACCCTAGTTGCATTAATGAGAGCTATCACAATGCAATCAAGTATGGTTTATTACAGCAACAGATAATCAGGTTCTTTTGGATTGCCGGTGATAGTGACTATCTGCAAAAGCAAGCTAGTATGCATGAAATACACAGGTGTTCTAGGTGTGGGTTCTAGGTGTGGGTTCTAGGTGTGGGTTCTAGGTGTGGGTTCTAGGTGTGGGTTCTAGGTGTGGGTTCTAGGTGTGGGTTCTAGGTGTGGGTTCTAGGTGTGGGTTCTAGGTGTGGGTTCTAGGTGTGGGTTCTAGGTGTGGGTTCTAGGTGTGGGTTCTAGGTGTGGGTTCTAGGTGTGGGTTCTAGGTGTGGGTTCTAGGTGTGGGTTCTAGGTGTGGGTTCTAGGTGTGGGTTCTAGGTGTGGGTTCTAGGTGTGGGTTCTAGGTGTGGGTTCTAGGTGTTCTAGGTGTTCTAGGTGTTACAGGTGCGCAGCCTAGAAATAAACGCGTTAAAAGGATCAAAGACTCTATAGAGATTTATAAGCAAATATTCAGATCTCACCCAAAGGCGTCCCAATGGGGGGGGAAGAGAGGCTCAGCCCGTCGACTGATCCCAGGAGTCAGGAGGTCCTAAGGATGTTGTATGTCCTTGGGATGGTATCTCCCCTGACGATGGTATCTTCCCTAACATCCCCTCTCTCTTGGGCCAATTTATATTATTTTCTATCTTTTAGGTGGAGCTTGAGTGGCTCTAGTCAAGCATATCTTAGTTATGATTGGTGTAAAGTTTTCCCGTCTCCGTTTAAAGTAATAGGCTCCGAGAAATTCAGGGCGCATGCTCAGTGAGGGGTGGTCGCACCTTGGAGGCGGGTAGCTTTTGGGATGGAGGTGTGTTTTGGTATTATAATGATATTATAATGAGCAAAAAGTACACTAGGGTACAGCATTTGTCAAAACATGACAGGTCTTTGGCTTAGGGTGGCAAAAAGTGCAGCTTTGTGCACAAGAACAATCGAGGCCCCACCTGATTACAGAGCCTAGCCGTGGTGTCTCCACTCCACTCTACGCTCCGTGGTGTTCCTTAGAGCTAGCACACCAAGTTTCCCCAGCGCGATAGCATCTAAGGTTGGGAGCCTAGGGAATGCTCAGATAATGCAGTTATGCCCTACCCTGAAAGCCTCTTCAATGCTGTACCTTTTCCTTAAAAGTGTGAATGTTAGTTTTATTTTCCTAGTTACTTCAGGCATTTACACCACACCATGAGCAGCTGGCTCACCTTGCCAGGTAGCATGAAAACTTTACTACTGTGTGTCAGATGTTGTTAGCAAAAAGAACCGTCCCCTAGGAAGCTAAACAAGCATCAGGAAGGTAGCATTGTCCCTTGCAGCAAACACAGGCTGACTGCTTGCTTCTGGAAATGTGGAAAAGTTACCTGGGTTTCTTGGAAATATCAAAATCTGTATGAAAATTTGGTCAAGTGTTTTTGCGGCAGTTCCCAGCATGTAATTTATTCTTCTGAATTGTGCTGACATAAATACTGCAAAATCTGAAAAAGCTTTGGTAGCAAGAAGGTTTGAGTAATGAAGAGGAGCAAAGGCATTATCAGAGCATGCTAAATAGGCTTTAGGATTTCTTTATACTGTTTCATGCATTCAGGAAGTTGTTCAAGAAATTCTCAAATTCTCTTAATGTCAAGTGTGAAAACTTCAGCACAGAAAGGCAATCTAACATAAAAATGGCTCTTCCAAGAAACAGAGCGACTCCTGTAACATGGATTAAAAACGAGCTTTCTGGCTATTTCAGGGTAAAGTGATGGCCTGCAAACACTGCAGTGAGATTTTCAGTAAAGAGGGGACACTGAAGCTGCCTTCGCTAAGCATGGAGAATAAAGGCATTGAAACAGATGACGAGAAGGATGCACTGAAGAAGCAACTGAGAGAGATGGAGCTGGAACTTGCACAGACCAAACTGCAGCTTGTGGAAGCCAAGTGCAAAATTCAGGTACGTGGAATGCGGGTACTGCAGGGCAGTCTCCTTAGCCTTGTTGTACTCTGTCCAAGTTGATCCGTGCCAGTTATGAATCATGGGGTTAAAAATGGTGCTAAAGGGAGCATACGCCTGTACCTGCTCTATGCCTGTGAACTTCCAGAATTTTAGGATTGTCTGTTTTTGTTGTTGTTGTTTTTGTTTGCTTGCTTGCTTTTAAAAAGAGAGAAGAACAAAAGAAAAGAGATTTCCATTTGTATGTCTAAATACTGTTTCAGTGATTTCAATGTTTTTCTCCCCAGTGCCTGGGAGGTTGCAAGGAACCAAGTCTGAAGATGCTCTTGTTTGTTTGTTTGTTTTTGATCAATTCTGACCATTTTGCTTTCTTAGGAGCTGGAGCATCAGAGAGGAGCCCTTATGAATGAAATCCAAGCTGCCAAGAACTCTTGGTTTAGCAAAACTCTGAACTCTATTAAAACTGCCACAGGCACACAGCCACCACAGCAGCCTCAGCAACCCCTGCCACCCAAAGAGGGCAGTACATAGTTCCAGCCAGACCTGATACAAGAGCACAAAGAACAACACAACTGAAACCCTGGAGGATTCTTCCAGTGGTCTCTCCTCTTGGGTAAAGGACAAAAGGCAGGAGTGCAGGCTTGAAGTGAAATTCTTCAATGTTTTTCATTCATTCTGATGTGATCCTTTTCAAAGGGGAAAAAATATTCTGTTTTATGTTGAATTCCTACTTCCCAAACTGCCTTGCTGAAAGCCACGTTCTGATACCTTCATACTTTTACACTTTATTTTATATGACTAGATGTTAAAATGAATAAATAATTCAAAACTAGTTCTTTAATACATGACTAATTATTCAAAATTATTTTTATCTTGCATAGAAGTTTTTTTTTTCTTCTGGAGTAAGAGAGAATGGAAAATGTAAAGTACTACAGCATAATCTCTTCACAGAAAGCACAGTGTAACAAGTACTAGTGTGTGTGTGTCTAGGATAACTTATGCCCTGGGACCATCTCAGAAGTTTATCGCAGTGACTACGTCCTGCAGAAAAGCACTTTTTCACTTTTTTTGTAAAGCTTAGGCCATAGCAAAGAAGCAAAGATAGTCTTGCACTGTCTTGGCACAATTGTTTGTGAGCTTCCCGGATAATTTCATAATTTTGATCGTTTTTTTCTTCAGAAATGCAAATAGTGCAGTTCTTTGTAGCACTGAGTAGCACTGTTGTTTATTTACAACTGAACTGGAATTTAACATAGTTACCTAGTTCCCCTTTTTTATTTCATGTTTATACTAAGAATGCCAAGAAAGAATTCCTTCCACTGGGAGAAAGGGAAAACTGTTCAACATTTATTCGATGGTTTTTCTGATAAGCCAACTGAAAACCTTGCATAGTTTTGACCTTTTGTAAGTCCTGTGCAATAAAGGGTAGCTTTTATGAATAAAATTAACAAAAACTTTTCCCTGGGTCTATATTCGATTTTTGAGTTTTACACAGAAGCGAGGTGTCAAATACAACAAACAACAGGCTTTTGCTGCACTGATGAAGAAATCACCACAAAAAAAAAGATCAATTTGCTATAAATATTTGGCTAGGAAATGCTATATCGGTATTACTTATTTTTATAAAAACAAACATTTTCAACTCGAATACAAAGCTTAGACTTTTCCCATGGGATAGACTTCTCTGATGATTCCCAAACCTCTCTGGTTGTTTTATATCTCTATGGTAAGAAAATTCAAAAGTGTTTGTTTTGACTGAACATAAAGTGTTTATAGAAATACTTCTTTCATGGAAAATTAAACTATTGCTTGAACTGATGGAATATTTTTTTAATTATACTTGTCATGTCTATAAGGTGGTCTTGCAGATAAATATTGCTGGACAAAAGGTTGTGTATTAATTGTTCCATTTACAAAACTGTTCCCAAGTACATTTGTTCTCTTTTGATCTTTTTTTAATTCAAAGGAATGCCATATCTTGTCCGTTTTGTACAATAAAAATTAATGGTACTCATCTTGTGCTTTGTTGTCAAGCATAATTGCGAATTACTTCAAACAGGGTGGAACAAGTTTAATGTTTACTTGTGCCAGAGGAACAATTCTGAAAGGCAGTCACTTGTTTGAAGTAGAGATCAAAATATAATCACTGTCCTGACACAACTATCCTGCGATGAACTTCTAACTCTCTTCTAAGAATAAGGAGTTTAAGATGTTGGTATTTTTTTAAAGTACCTGCAAGAAAAGTGATCATCTGGAAACCTTAACAGGATGAGGGGGGAAAAAAAAAAAAGAAAAACAAAAAAAGAAAAAGAAAAAGGGATCTCTTTTGCAAAGAGAAAAAAAAACCAAAAACTTCCTTTTCCTGGTCACTTCTAATAATATTTGCAAATATGCTTCCATTCTGTAGGCTATCTAAACCTAGCATTATTAACTCACTTATCAGTACCATTGCACACTTGAAATAAACAGTGAAATAAATTTGAAGTGACACTGAAGAACTCTTGATTGGTACAGTGAGAGGACTGTGCTGATGAGTGATACCAATGGTTGGACAAGTGTCCACATTTCTCATGTCATTTATCTTAAATCGTACTTACAGGTGGATTTAAAACCTTGATTGGAAAAATGCAGTAATGATAATAATAATAAAAAAGTTAAGACTGTGAGTCCCTGAGCAGCTGAGTTCATGTAACAGCTCCCTGCTGCTCAAAGACCTTACCCCTCCAGCTCCCTGATGTACAGTCATGTCCCTACCCTTTTTATGGCACTTACTAGAGGTGATTCAAATTAAAAATTAAAAGTCTTGATTTTTTTTCCCCATTTAGTCTTTTGCCAAGTCAATGTGTTACATCATGTAAAGGGTCCAATGAGAGAGAGTGAGTGGATGAGTGAAGCAGTACTTCCCCGGTTCATCAAAAAGGAATTGTTAAATAAGCTTCTGTGTTTCACGGAACTAGCTTTGACACGCTATCATCCTTCTCATTGTAGTATCTCTCTGACTGTGGAAGTTGAGTTTCTGTGAGAAATACATGCTTGCTACCTGCTAGCCATGATGATTTCAAAACCCTGTAGGATAGGAACTGGCTTACCTTGTGCCTCTCACAGCACCAAAAAAGTTTCAGAAGACAATGGCTGAATTACCCACTTTTGGCAATGATGTAAAGGCAGTAAGCGACTTTCACCTTCCATCTGTGCATCCCAGGTAGTATTCGTAGCAGTGGCACTTGGAAGAGTAATATTTATGTGGAAATTATCTTCTCAAAATTACTGAAGGAATGAGAAAAATAGCTCTACGTTATTATCTTGATGAACAAGCATAGTTAAATGCAGAAACAAGGAAAGCAGCAGAGCTGCAGGATTAAACCGGGCAAGCTAAAGCTGCCTGCTGACTGTACATGCTGTTGAGATACTCAGTTTCTTGTAAGAAAAAAAAATCTGTTTTAATTAGTCCTTTCAGCAGTGGTTGATGGAGTACTTGCTATAAATACTCATATCCCAGACCAACTGATCTGTCAGGGATAGCTGGTTCAATATTCAGATTTTCAGAGGGAAACATCATCAAAGTCTTGCTGAAACTTATTTTCATGTGGCACTGGAACCCACTTCTTAAGTTTAGAATGATTCTTTTTTTCTTCTCTTGAGTCAGTATTGAACTATGTATCAACATAAAAATTGTATTGGAGATAATTTGAATGTTATAAATATATCTTTATGGAACTAAATCTATTTTTAAATTTTATTGAGAATGCACAGTTCTGAAATAAAGCCTTTACTTTGATTAGGGACAAACCTCCAAAGAATATTTTTAGTACAACTGCTTTATCTTGTCAGATTCTAATCTTCTCCTGAGATGCCCAATACAATATGAAAAAAAAAAGGGGGGGGGGAATACACAACTGCTCTTTTCCGCTTTAAAAAGTATTTACTTTGACTGCAACACTTTACAGGATAAATGAAGCAAGGCTGATTTAGTTCTGCAGTACATCTGTGAACTAGTCTTGGATTATCTTTGTGACTCAAACTTACTAAAGTAATAGCACTTCACTTACTTTAACAAATTCTAAACATGCCTAGAAAGAATTAAAGACAGCAACATAGAAAATATCATGGGTGGCTTAAATCCAAGAAACTGCCCGAGAAACTGCAAAGTCCCTGAGGTCCATACCAGTGAATGATTAGTAAAACCTGTATCAGGAGAGGTAGTGAGCTGTGTAATCAGTACTACCAGCTGACAAACATTTCTTTGTATTGCCTGTTAATTAATATATTGTCTAATTTGCTACAGCTAATTTACATGTTAGATAAACTTATTTTTCCTTGTTAGACATTTTAAAGAACTGTTTTGTTCTTAAAACTGGTTTGCCCTTAAAATTTCTTATAAATAGATGCTTTCACCTGTGCCATTGTGTGAAAAACAACACGGAATAAAGACAGCTGTTTACAACAGGAGAGGGAGCTCCAACATCTAACAGAAATAATTCAGGCCCTTGACAAAGCACAAAGGAGCCCATTGACTTCAGTGTCTGGTATCAGTCGCTGGCTGAACTTGGCACTTAGAAGTCAATACAAATCTAACTTTATTGACATAAAAACTTAAAAAATACATCAGAAATTTATGCTTTCTCCACAGGAAACAAGGAAGTCCATTCCCTTGAAGTAGTTTCAGTGAGATCTGTGAAACTGCTTGTATGTGTCGAAGAACCTCTTATTTTGATTTCCTGTTAGACACGAGGATAATTGCCATACTTCTATGTAATCTAGTAAATCTAAATACCTTTGGCATTGAAAACAGAAACTCCGTTGTCTTACAGTGCTGGTTTTCTCCCAGCTGCTGTAGGGAAAACCCTACTCTACGTCATTTTGGTTGACCAGCATGCCTCTTTTACAGCTCAACCCTGCAGAAAAGGCTGTTGTGCAAACAGCTGGGTGCACAAAACACACAATGCTGTGCATGCCCAGGGCTGTGGGTGCACACAGCACCAGATATCACATTGTTCTCACAAACGTGAAGGCTTGAACTAGATTCTATTTTCATCTATTATGCTAGTATCCTACTGGGAGCTGTCCCGTTACCTCTTTCCAAGTACTAAGGGGAGATACAGCAAAGCACTGATTTTTGGACCTTTCAAGTTAGATTATACATCACAGCAGCCATTAAAACTGGGCTAATCCATAGTTGGTTTTGGGAAATTCAAAGAATTTGGAACTGGATGACTAATTATCAGCATTGATAAAGATCCTAACTTTTCTAACTCAGAAGTCTACACAATTTGTTTCAGGATCATAACTTAAGACGTACAGGTTAATCCTCCAGGAATACAGGGCTCTCCATTTCTCCTGGAATCCAGCTGCTTTGCGACTGAATGTATTTCATGCTATTTTTACCTGGGAAAAAAAAATAAAAAATATGGGTAGAGAACTAGAACATTACTTCCTCTTATTTTCTTATTCAGTGGGACTTGCTTTTATTTAAACTGTAAAGGAATATATATGTATCTTTGGAAAACTATATCTTATATATAGAATAATATATAGGAAACTGAATCACAAAGGGATAAATACAGCAAAAGGATTTGGTATCACAGACTTCATTTGTGATTCGATACCGCCAGAATCTTGAGCTGTACTAATTTCCTTTCAGTTTCTCTTATTTTTGTATTTTATATGATACATGGATGCTACTACCAATGCAAACAAAAGCAGATGTTCTCAGCTTTTTCTCCAGATTCCAATACCCCCCTTCCAGTAACTCTTAAGGACACACTGGTACTGATACCATCTTCAAAACTACCAGGAGCTCTCTTGAGCTTTGGGAACTATTGTTTTCCCAAGTAAGAGGAGTCTCTGGCTTATTTAGACAGGGAAAAGATGGCAAGGCAGAAGAGGGTCTAATCAAGTATGATTCTGAACCAGAGCAGTCTTGTCTGCCATTCAAGGTGGCTTCACTTCAGCACACTGAAAATAGAGAGCAGCTTCATTGTGCTGATGAACAAGGACATTTTCCGGGTTTGTAGTTGCATTCGTTATCTGGTTATGGCCCTAGTATATAAAATATACTTTACTAGATAAACTTGGGGAAAAAAGAACATTATAGTGCTGTGAGACTTTTAACTGAGAACAGCTTAGTACTGCCAGTTCTTGTGTAACAAATCCATGTATTATATAAAGTATAATACAGAAATATAAGTGTAATGCTTGTTATTAAAAGTGCAATTTAATGTACATGGTCACAACAAATGTTTACTTTTTTAATTGTTACAGAATTGTTTGGATCAGTACCTTGTTATCATTGTGTGAACGATGCCTTGTAAAATAAATGGAAATGCAAACAAAATGGGAATAAGGTGCTTATTTTCATAAGCCACTTAAACAGCTTAAATCTGTTTGCAATAGCAAATTGCTGAGTTGGGTTTTCTGGTACAGTTCACTCCACTTGGTTATTTTCAAGCAGCACTGTTGCACACTGGCTCTGCAGACTAGCTGCCTGAAACGTGTATGTCCCATAGCTAATTTCCAGCTGGCAGTATAGCGTACCTGTGTGCAGGGGTAACCCATACCACAGGAATCCGATGGACAGGCACTGTGCTAGAAAGCTAACGGGTCACCTGGGCACTCCTCTCCAAACCCTGCTCTGGGTTTCCAGCATAGAGAACACAGTAGTAAACACACTTTTAGGAAAAGTTGTTCGTATACAGCAGTGGGGAAGCAGGAGTGGCTGTTAAGGACTTCATGCTGCCCTAGCAGTGTGCAAGAGAAATGGGCACCATGCCTGAGGGAAGAGAAGCAGTGACCAGGAGGAGCCATTAAGAGACAGAAACCCATTAAATAAGCATGACCATATTACATATTTCCAGATAAAATCAACTGGCGCAGCTTCAAATACTGTGGTTGAAAATCTGCAAGCTGAAGCTCAGTACTAGGAACGTTAAATATGACCACAGTGTTGGTTATTACAGCTCGTCAGTTAGTTACTAACAGTTTCTGAAGCCCCGGACCAGAGGGTTACATCAAACACTTCAGTACAACGTCTGTTAAAACTGATTTGTGGAATTCAGCCTTGAAAACCAGTCTTTGGCTTCTGGTTTTCCACGATTTTCTTATCTTATTGGGATCTATTCTTTCCTCCATACCTCTGCAAAAAAAAAAAAAAAAACCTCTCCAGATTAACCAACTCCTGGATGGCCACTTTAGAACAGGAAAAAACAAACAAACAAACAAAAACCATAAATCAACAAGTGAACGGACATTCCTCAATTTCATAAATTAGATGTTAGTATCTGGCACCCTTTCATTTAAAGAAAGTTGCTTTTCAAACGCAGAATGGCTGTATCCTGCCTCGGGCTCCCTCTTTTATAAGACACCTGGAGGAAGACGCTGACTCTCACCTACGATCTTTCCACCACTGAAAGATTGCGAATGTATTTTATTTTTCCTCCTCTGGGAAATCTCAGTGCTCGAACGAGACCTGTGAATACACACGTTTTGTCTTTTTTTAGTACACTGACTCAGTAACTGGTGAGACACATTTCGGTGTACTTCTTCCTTCGAGCACCTCCGGTAGAAATAACTGAGGAAAGCCACTCCAAGCCTTCTCCACAGGAGCACCGTGTGTCATCAAAGCTCCCCTTGCCCACGGCAGAGTACAAAGAAAGATTTCAACGATCGGAAAACGCCTGTTTGGGTCGCTCCGACACGGCCGGGGCGGACCAGAAGCCGCTACCTCAGGGCGCTGCCTCACCGCGCAGCTAACAGCCGCTAACGGTCGCTAACGGCCGCCGTGCCCCTCCCGTTCCGCTCGGCCGGCGGAAGGCGGCGGCGGGCTCCCGGAGGAAGAGGAGGAGGCAGCGACGCCATTTCCGCGGGGCGGGAGGCCGGAAGGTTCCAGAGGGGCCGCGGAGCCGCCGCTAGGGAGGCGCAGCGCCGCGCAGCACCGCTCGCGACATGGCCGCCGCGCGCGAGGAGGTGAGCGGGAGCCTCGTCCCCCGTCCCCCCCCCCCCTCCATCCGCCGTGAGGGCGGAGCGGCTCCGAGCACGGGGAGAGGGCACGCGCGGGGGCAGCCGGGGGGGGAGTTGGAGCGCTGGTGAGGAGCGGGCGGCCTCGTGCTTCGCAGCGCACGGAGGGGCGGGCGGGCGGCTGCTGGGTCTGAGCGTGCTGCACCCGGCGGGCTCGGAGGCGCTGGGAGTGAAGGAGCTCAGCCCTGAGCCTGCGTTAAAAAGGAGGGCGTAACTCACGCGCGTTGCGGTCTCTCGTTTGCGAACCAGTTGCTGAAAGATTTGGAAGAGGTTAAAGAATTGCTTGTGAAAGTCACGAGGAAGCGGCTCCGCGATGTGCTGCTGACAGAAAAGCACAAGCTGGAGCTAGAAATCAAGAATCAGCCTCAGCCAAAGCCAAAGGATGCGGTAGAAGAAGAAAAGTCATCGCTGGGAGGCTACACGGTGAAAATAAACAATTATGGTAGGTTTACTTTTCTTAATGCGTTTTACAGCTTAGGCATCTCCCTGAAGAGAAGCCTGGGAGGCATTAGTGTGAGTTACAGGTACCATTTAGTGCTATTGAGAAGTTCTCACAAATGTTGATTTCATACTGGAGACCTTACTTTAAAAGCTTCTGTGTGCTTACTGTGCTGTCCCAACCATGGCACGTGTTAATTCTGTCTGGGTGATAGTTGTCCAGTACTGGTGGAGTGTCTTAAGGGTCCCTGGTGTACCAGCTAGTATTTTTCCATTGCCTAATACTTAGTAAGAATTAAAGAGTGAGCTTTGGTTTCTCTGCTTGCCATATAGGTGAAAGGAGAAGGAATTGCTCAAGATACTTGCTGTGCAGGGGAAAAGTGGGTCATGGAAGCTGCAGCAAAACCAGACCTCTATCTCTGAATCCCCCCTACGCAGATGGGGTTGCTGTCCTTTTACCTGAGTTGATACGTGGCTTTTCACAGAATTTAGAGAAGTTAGGGAACAGGGCTATGTGTGCACCTCCTTTTGCTCTTGCATTATGCCTAATTCACATCTATCCCTTGTTTCGCTGAAGATTGTTTTAATAAGGCATAGGTCATGGTCATTGTGGGGATGTTAGAATTGAATGTATGAAGTTTGTGGATGGAAGCTAGATCTTAATCTTTTTCCCTTGCAGGTTGGGATCAGTCAGATAAGTTTATTAAGATTTACATCTCTTTAAATGGAGTTCAGAAGCTCCCAGCTGAGAATGTGCAGGTGAATTTCACAGAGAGGTGAGTTGATCTTGTTGCACCATGCCACAAGGAGAGCACTGTTGAAGAAAGTTATTTGCAATGCAGAAATGTGTTTTGTTGAGTGCTGTTCTGCATCAGCCATGCCCAATGCTTCACCCCTTTTCTCCCTTCTATTTATTTACTTAGCACATACCCTTAAGTATAGTGCTCCTTAAAGTGTTTGGTTTTTTTTTTTTTTTTTTTTTTTTTTTACATTAATTTAAAAATGCTTGTTATACCTCGTTGTGGTTGACAGGGTATGTAGTGTTAGCCCTGTTTTTTGATGGTGATAGAACTGAAATGTTGATGAAATAAATCTGCTTTACCAAGGTTGTAGGAGGCCAATGAGATAGAAAGAACCCCAAAGATTTGTTGTGAAGTCTGAGTAGGTCCTTTTCAGTACTCAGCATTAAATCCAATTGAAGATTTGGAAGCCTTGAGTAGAAAGTAATTCAGGCCAAGTGAAGTGCCCAAGAAATGAACCTGCTAAAGGGCTTTCAGACACTATTTTTGGTGGCAGGGTAGAACAGTCTTCCACCAGCTGGAATATTTTTTAATACCTTCCCTCTCCCCACCTTCTCATTCCAGGTCGTTTGATCTTCTAGTTAAGAATCTGAATGGGAAGAACTACACCATGACCTTCAACAACCTCCTGAAACCCATCTCTGTGGAAGGCAGCTCTAGGAAGGTCAGTGCATCCCATCTGTTACAGATCTTTAGGCCCCTTACACAGTACCATGTTTGTTGACTAGTTTAAGAGGTCCAGTGCTAACCTTCAGTCTATAAAGTGTCTAACAGTTTATCTATAAAGTGTTTTCCCTGTGAACATGATCTGTAATAATCTGTAGTTGTCACAATTGTGGAATCGATCTCTGGAGACCATGACCATGGGCTTCTACCCCAAAAGATCATGAATAGATACTATAGACTTTTAAAAATAGCTTTCCAACAGGATTTCAGAAATAATTAAGCAGAAAATTCCACTAAGCATCTATTTGTGTTATTTGCAATTTTAGAGTAGACGGGAGGCTTGACAGCAGACTGAAACCCTGGGTAGCTTAAAGAGGTATAATGCCCAAAACAGTGTCTAAAACTTGCTCTTTCTTAAGGGTGCATTGCTCTGCATTGAGCAACAGTAACATTTCACTGGTGATGACTGCAACTAGTAATACTGTCTTTACTCTGCTACTTGTAGCACCTTTGAACCAAAGCACATCATTAAACTAAATAGTTCAATTTGAAATTGCTCTAAAAACTAGACTTGTACAAAATTAAAACAACTGAAATATGTGAGAGTGATGTGCCAGTAATTTTTAATATGATGCAGAAACAAGCAATGGTCGTTTTGCTTTCTGAATTAAGCCAAAGCTCAAGCAGAACTTTGTTTGCTGTGGCATGCAGAGGTTTTGTAAAATTTAGGTCAGGGTTGCAATTAAACAGGCTTTGCTTTTAACTTGCAGACATACTGCAAGATTAAGCAATGTCCTTAAACTAGTTTCTTACCCTTGGAGAAATGAGTTGGGAAAGCAACTACCAAAACATGGTATTCTAAAAACTCCTGTAAATATAGTCACCAGACAATCCTGGATACATTTAGTATCCTAAAAATTACTGAATGGTGCTTTTACAGTGCTGCATGTTCTTCTCTACCATAAAATTAGTACTATGCTATAGTGTCAGTATTGTAGTACTGTGCTACTCTGCAATGAGGTTATGACTTGGTGCCCTGAGGCTGAATAGATATTGCAACTTTTGTATATTACCTAAAATCAATAGCAGAAATAAACACTTCAGGAATTTGCAGGGATAGAAAGACGCTTACGTCATAAGCTCATCGTATTCATTGTGATTGTAACTATTATTCTTTAGTATTCTAAACTCGTGTCTTGCTGTTCTCCATACAGATAAAGACGGACACAGTCCTTGTGATGTGTAGGAAGAAGCGGGAGGAAAAGTGGGATTGTCTTACTCAAGTGGAAAAAGAAAGCAAAGAGAAAGAGTAAGTGTTTCTGTACTCCTCTATCTCATCTTCTGTTAATTGTTTCCCCAGTTGCTTTAGGGACAGTGCATTTCAACTCTTCTCTTGCCTGTGTAGTCAAACTGAAAACTGCTGCTCTGGGGGATAAGCCCATAAGGTATTTGAAAATCATTAGGTTAGTATATATATTATTATTTTTTTGGTGCACTTTTAGTGCACTTTTTTTGTGGAGGGAGGTACACTTAGAGCAGCTGTCAGCCACTCTTCTACTGATTTATTGCTAGTGATGAATGTTGCATCATTAGAAATGTGACAGATAAGGCCTGCAGTGAAAGTGCTGGAGATAATTAACCAAATAAAGAGTCAGTTACATCTTGCTGGCTGCATTCCTTTCAAGAACTGCTCTGGTGAGATTGACTGTTTTTAAGCTAAGTATATATTTCCTGCAGCTATGCTGGTCAAAATAATTATATATTTTTTGTGTGTTTGAAGTGCCTGCACAAAACCCCAGTATCCTTCTGGCAAAACAGGTTTTTGCTCACCTGGATCATTGTACAAAATCTCAAGCACTTGAAGCACAGTAATCTAAATTAGCTTGGGAGCAATCCTACATGCAGCTTAGGTGCTGGATGTGAAAGGGTGATAAACTACAGCAGGAGACACCTGCATGCAGGATGTTTTTTTAATACATGTTGTACATAATACTCTTATATTGTTTTACAATAAACACATTTTCATCAAAAAGTGTTCCACCTTGAAGCGTGGAAGCGCTCACGTTTGAGACACTTAGGCCTGCCAATGACCGATCACTTTGTGTATATCTGTAGGATGACTTGCTTAGACTGATTAGTCCTAGGTAACCAGAGCAAAACTATTTTCCTATCCCAAGAAACAGCACTGGAGATCAGGAGAAGGCGATTTGACTCCTGATACCCATTGCTGGAGGGACTGGGTCATTTTATTTAATGTCTTGTGCAGAGAAGTACCATACGCTGCCCAGCCTGTCAGGACTAACACTGCTGCCATATTCAAAGGCTTGGAGTATGACAAGTTACTTTATAAAAGTGCTGGGGACTTTGAGGCTGGTAGCTAGCCCCGTACTTGGGTAACTTGCTCCCTCTGCTGTTTTATTGTCATCTGCATGTTTTTCAGGTAGCCTGCAGCTATGCTAGTAACTACCTATGTTGGCGCTTTCTGGGTCTGTTATGTTTGGGTCCTGCTCTGTAGGATTAATTCTGGGTGGTGCTTCAAGGATCATGTTCATTGCAAAATCCTTCCTGTTACCCTTAATAGGACAGCTCAAAGTGGACATGCACTTACTCTGAGTAGACCCTTAAGGATTTTCTCTCTTTATGTGGTGACAGTTGTGACTGAAGACTTACACAGTCTAAGACTTTGCCAAAGCAAAATCTTGTTACCAAAGATGTTTCTAACAAATATTAGTGTTTGGTTTTTGCAGAGAATTGTTAGATATGCCTCATATTCTTGTATGTATCCATCTTGCAGGAAGGCTGCCTATGACACCTCAGATCCTAGTGAGGGGCTTATGAACCTTTTAAAAAAGATGTATGCAGAAGGAGATGATGAAATGAAGCGCACCATCAACAAGGCCTGGGTTGAAAGCAGAGAAAAGCAATCCAAAGGAGACATACCAATGGATATTTGAAAGTACTCTAAGGGCCGCCTTAATATTGATCTTCCATGTGAGACTCACTGTGCTGCAAAGATCATTGTTTACAAAACCTTCTTCCAAGCAAAGACAGTCATTTTCCATTTCAGGTTGGAGAAAATATTTAAATAAAATAGCTTATAAAGCATTTCCTTCAGTCAAGCGGCTCACCATCTCCTGAAGAGTGGAGCGTAGGTAAATCTTTACCCCTCCCTGAAAAAGCATCTCAGCTGAGTGGAGTCTTTTCTGAAACTGAGAACAGAATGTAAAAGAAAAGGAATCCTAAACTAAGACGGGTCAAGGCCTCTCTGTTGCAAGTGACAATGGTACCCATCTGGTTACTGGGACTAACGTCATGCTAACTGCTGGGGTGGGTTTTTTGTTGACATATGGGACAGTATGTTGAAGAGTAAATACGATAAATACTGAAGAAACTAGAACCACTATCTCAAGACAGTGCACTTGCTATTAGAGCAGAAAAAAATATGATGTTTATGATGTGGTATTAAAATTGAATGATTACTTAGAAATTAACTACTGCCTGTTTAACCTTTTATGACTTTTGAAAATGAAAACTGCTTGTAAGCCTCTGTGCTAAATCTGACCTCCTTGGGGTGTCTTTGAGGTGGCATCAGTCACAGGAGAACAGTGAGCTGCTGATGCTAGGTAGTGAGTTCACCCTGGCTCTAGCAGTATATAATGAAAAGAGAAAAGCTTCGTTATCTCCTATCGACTTTGAAGAGTTTTAAGGTAACAGAGTAAGTAGTATATTAAGATAGTTTATGCTCCAAAATTTGACAAAATTGAAGGTGATAGGTTGCTCTTAACGTTCTGCCTGTGTCTTCCATCTGATGGCAGTACGACTTGGCCTATTTAATTGCAGCCTCTCCCTGCTACTGTAAGGGACAGAATAGCCATTTCCTCTTTATTGCCCTGCTTTGAAGAAGAGTACATGGCAAACATGAACTTAGCAGCAGGCTTGGTTGGGGTTACTGTTTCCTTCCTGCTTCCTTCTCATGTCTTTCCCGAGGACAAATTTATTTGATGTTACCTGCCAAATTAATCAAGCCATTACTCTCCTATTGTGGTCTGGACTTAATTGCTACCTTGTAATTAAAGGACTGGACCAAGCTCTGCACTGTAAGTAGGAGAGGAATATTAGCATGTTGTAGTTTCTAATAGGTCCTTTATCCACTCTTTGTCTGTTTGTACATGTATTAAGTTTGCATAGCAAGAGTATCTAAGCCTACGGCCATGTTTTATTTTTAAGTTCATGCTCTTTGTTCATGGTGGAATACTACTTTGCCCTGTTCTGCAGTTTCACTTATGCTTTTACCCAAATTACCATCGTGAACGCAATCGTATGGTGACAAAAAAAAGTGCTTAAATGAGCCTATGCTGTATGTCTTTATTTCTGATGGTGCCCTTATCACAAACCACAGATTAGTTCTGCAACAATCAGTGATTTTTCTCCTCTCGTAATAAAACTGCCTTTCACACAGACCAGCTTAGTGCAGTTATCAGCTGATTGACAAAAAGCAACATACCAGTCACAATCTAGTAAATGGATTTAATGAATTAGCATGGCTCTTCTTCCTTCTGTATCAGTTTGATGCTGGGCTCATCCACAGGACAGTCTTGAACACACAGAGTTTGTGTTTTCTGCCTGAACGTACATCCATTCAGCAATCTACCACATGGCCCTCTGTATGCCAGACATTTGAGCGTGATCAGCAAAATGGCGGAAAACAATTCTGCTCAGCCTCCACCGCCTCTTCACCCCCCGAGGGCGGGATGTCAGAACACACCTATTTCGGATTCTCACAGGGCAGCTGTCCCGAGGCAATGCAGCAATCTCTTTATCAGCCACTTCCTAAAACAGAAGACCACAGCACAGAGCATAACTATGTTCCCTGTGAATATGAAGTCTTGTTTCCAGACCTCATAGCAGAGCTGTAAAATAGGTATCACCACAAGCTACCATTACCTCACAATTGTGCTTGACCTTTTGATAGTAAACTTCCTCCTGCCCTTCCTTCTGGGCATCCTAACAGTGAATGTAAGATGACCTACATGGAGGCCTCAAATTTAAACTTACAACCTCAAGCTAAAAATAAAAGCTGAAACAAACAGCTCAAGCCAAGTAAAAATATAGTGGGCTAGTCCTTTAAGTTGAATTGAATTTAAATCAATTTCTTGTTAACTGTCTTCCTATGTAATATACTTCAATGTCAGTAAAAGGGATTTCACCCTTCAACAGGTGCAGAGGAGGACAGGTCAAAGTGTTTCTGCTCTAATGAGAAGGCTTAAGAAAGTTCTTTTTCTGTACAAGAGAGCAAAAATAGTTTTCAAAAAGCACAAGGTTGCAGCAACTGGAATTTCAGAACAAGTATGTTTAGCCAGGAAATGCATTCTAAAAGAAGATGCTTGAGGTTAGGTAAGTGTCTAACTGTAGCACTCTTAATGTGCTACATTTTTAAGGAAAGAAGGGCTTAAAGAATCCTATGGTAGGAAACCTTGGTGGTTAAATGAAGGTCTGATGCTGGACTACAAAATCTCCCGTTATGTTGCATACTCCTGTTATGGAGTGCTGAAAAGCAATAATGTCAGGCTATCTTGTAAGGGGATCCTCCCTTTCAAAAGAGGACAGGATCAAGACTGCAGCCAGGTGACTTTCAACTTCTGTAAAGGCAAGGTCAGTGGGTCTTCTTGTCTTGGAACGTTCTGTAGTTACTGCTTTTGATGTCCCAAGCACCTTACTTGTGTATGTGCCTGTATACCTACAATTCATCTAATAGGGCCAACCACTCGCAGTATTTTTTTAGCTTATTTAATTCCTAGGATTTTTATTAAGAAAGCAGCCTATGCTTTCAGAGAACTCACAGCTTCTTCTTTTAAGATGTTAAATTTGGAGTCCAAATAACATTTTGTAGAGGAGGTGAAAGTTACTTCCCTTAAGTTTTTGTTTCTAAGTGCTGCTACAACTGTGACTTCAAAAGGTGACAAAAGCAGCTGAGGAATACCAAAAACAAAGCCAGGTGCAATCTGCCCCCCCACCCTTGGGTGAACATTCAACACAAACTAGACTTGCAAAGAAGATGGTAAAATCAGTACATAAAAGCAGATTCACAAACTTTCTCTCCCAGGACTTTTAAGAATGGAAGTATATCCCCACAACTAGGCATGATCAGACCAAATATGTACATGAATATTTTAAGAGTATTTCAAACACTTGAAAATATTCTTAATGCTTACTAAGAAAGGCTGACTGCAGGGCAGCGAATATGTATACTTTAAAAATCATCTAATGCCCAGATCTGATGCAAATTTTATGTGCTTCTAGCTCACGCAAAAAGTTAAAATTACCTATTTTTAATCAAATAGGTAGCTTTGTCAGGACCAGGCTTTCAAGTTTCTAAATAAACGCAAGAGCCAAAATCCCAAGTTTACTTAGGCGACTATAAAAGTAACCATATAATACGCCATCATGGAAAACAGCTTTCCAAAGGTACATAACTGATAACTAAGGAGCTGAGTTTTCACTGTATGTAGTGTTACAGCTACTACTTCCAGGAGAAGCACTGGTGTAAGATGCCAACAAAGCCAGGAGCGTGCCCTGTTATCACCTGGCCCAGCTGGTCAGTGTTAAATGCAGTGCCCACAGCAGTGCTAAAAGCCACGGGAGCCCTCACAGCGTGCCCGCAGGGCCCAGCTGAGGGCAGTGGCCCAGTACCTGCAGCTCCTTGGGCAGGATGGTGTTCTTTCGGATGGCGTTGATCCGCAGCCGCTCGTCAGCATACTCGTAGGCCAGCCTCCTCCTCTTCACATCGCGCAGCATCCTCCAGTCCACGAAGTAGCTCCGCACTTGCCTCGTGCACGCTGAGGGGAGAACCTAATTAAAAAAAAAATCACCCACACCCGTTTAGCTTATTTGCCTAGTTCAGGTACGAATTACTCCCATAAACTTGTATTTGCCGGGCTTTTCCTAATTCCCGCAGTGCAGCTCCTAAGACATTTCGCGTATTTCACATTTTAGTTCGCAAAAGCCAGCGCGGAATTAATCTATCATCCAGCAGACACACATAACCTCACAGTTTACCCCCCCCCCCCAACCCCGCAGTTGTTCTCAGGCGCTTCCCCCGGAGCCCCACGGGGGCCGTGCCCGCCGCCGCGGCGCCCTGAGGCGGCCGTGTTGCTGTGGGGGGCTGCCGGTGGCGCTGACCTGCCCCGCCGCCCGCAGCGCCCAGCGCAGCGCGGCCGCCGCCATCTTCTCGGCACCGCGCCTGGGGCCCCGCGAGCGCCACCAGCGGCCGCTGCCCGGCCTCGCACTGACTGGAGCCCGCCCGCAGCCCCCAGACGCGGCGCTGCCCACCCGCATCGGCGGCCTGAGGGCTGCCTGGGAGGGGAGGGAAGTTAAAAACTGGGGTCTGTGCTCGGTCTTTCCTGCTATAGGGAAACAATTTCCTCTGCTTTTGTGGCTGGAAAAAGTAAAGAACCCGAACCACTTCAGAGGGTTGTGTCTTATATGTCAGCCCCTGTAATAACTCCTTCATTAGGGTGACCGAGCAGCTGCCACAAAAACCTCCGGATCTGTCCAAAAGGATCAGAGGTTGGAAGAGGAAAATTTGTAGAAATGATGGGGGAGAGTTCCATCAGGAAAATGTGATGCAGCGACATTGAAGCATTCACCACATTATGGGACCATTTTCCAGGAAAAAAAAAAAAAGGCAATGCAGCTGTTGTTATATATGGAGTGGTAATTCGTGTCGAGAAGTTGGTTGCTATTAATAAAGGAGAGGGAGATTTGGGAGTGTGGCCATGGGGGTCAGCAAGCCCTGTGGTTGACGGTAACATCAGACTCCTAACGATGAGGCTATCAGGAATGTAAAAAAAAAATGTTCTTGTGTGCGTGTTGGTGGAGCGTAGACTCCCTGCACACCCAGCACTGTTTACTTGCCTTTTATACCTTTTATAAATATTCATTTTATAAATATTACTAAATTCCGATTGAGACTTCATTTATAACAGCCATGACACACAATCCCGAGAATGTGTAGGATGTTTAAGGCTCCAGGTGAGTGCTGCCTGCTGCTCAGCCCATTTAAACCATCCTAAAAGGGGGGAAAGCAGCAAGAAGTGCTCAGTACCACAAAGCAGGCGGGGTACGGACCTCACAGCAGGGCTGCCCTACAAGCACCGCTGTCCAGGGCCCCCTGTGGGGTCCGCAAACCTGTGGGGTCCATCCCAGCGTGGGGTCACTTCTGCCCCGTAAGGCAGACCTGAGGTGCAGGGGGCCCTGGTGGAGGCAGAGTCAGGTGTGCTCGGGTTTGTGTCACTCCTGGTGGGTTTTGTGGGTTTTAGGAGAGCAGCGATACCCCACAGCCAGTCACAGGTGGGTGCCGGCCCCACAGGGGCCCACTCGCTGGCGGTGCCCAGCAGCCGGCAGCGCCCCACGGCCCCTCGAGCCCCCCGCTGGCCGGGAAAGGGCCGCATGCTAATGAGGGGCGTGGCCTCATTTGCATGCGGCGCGGTGCACGCCGGGTACCTCGCCCTGACCTGAAGGGCAGGCGCAGCGCGGGGCTTTATATCCCCGCCCGGCACCCCCAGCGCTGTCCGGGGGAAGCTCACCGCCGAGGCCACCCACGGGGTGCCCGTCACCCGCCGGCCCCGCCTCGGGGAAGGTCTGAGGGAAGGGCCGCCCGCGGCCCCAGCAGGGCCCCGCCCGCGCGGGCAGGTGAGCCACCAGCAAGGGGGGGCGCCGCGCAGGGCCGGCCCGGGCAGGAGAAGCGGGGGCGGGGGAAGCCCCCATCGGCCAACCCCAGCCCCGCGGATGCTCGTGGCCCCGCGGGGCCTTGAGACAGACTCACGGCCGGCGCGCTGAGTCCAATGGGTGGGGTGGGGCACGGCCCCACAACCCAATTCAGACTACTCTCCCCCGGGCACCATTTTGGGGGCCCTGCTGCCCACCATCTTAGAGACACCCACAGACACCCCCAGCATCTTGTGACAGAAGCACCCGCAACACTCGCACCCCAACACTTTGAGTGAGTGGGTGTCGAGAAAGTGGGTGCTATTAATAAAGAAGGGGGAGATTGGCCATGGGGGTCAGAATGCAAAGTTGTTTGACCAGTGAAAAGTTGTTCTGAAAAGGACTGCTGTGGGGAGAAGGGCATAAGAGGGGAGCCTGTCCTCAAAAATAAAAGGCAACACAGCACAATGAAGTTATGCCATCAATAAAGGAGAAAGAAGGAATGGAGAGGAACAGGCTGGCAGAACAGAGACCAGGACGGGAACAGGCACATTGATCGCCTCATGAAGATGGGTTCGGCCACTCAGCAAACCGCTCAGAGAAGCTCGTACTGAAAGTCGCTGGAGATGGGTGCACCGGAGCTGGAGAGAAGCTCGAGCTGAGAGAAGCGGACCCAGCACACAACTGCCCCTCGCTGGTAAGCAGCTGCGCATTACGGGGAATCATACGTCCTTAGGAACAAAGACTGTCCTGGTAACCTTACAGCTTATTCTCCTTGTTAACAGTCAGACAGTTTATGAGCCTGAAACACGGGACCAAATTGAGGTCAAGGTGTGGGACTCTGCAACTAAAAACGACAAGGTAGTGGCAGGGTTGCTCGGCACCTGGCGAGCAGTCTCTGAGGCCTTAAAGAGCCCTGTGGGACCACAGTCACAAACGTGTGGTTTGCCAGACAGTGAGGGAGCTGCGGGCTCCTTTACTGATCCGACTGCTACGCCATGGGCCCCTCTGCTGCTACAGCCATCGAAGGCTTTTGCTGTTACATCTCCTGGTGACCTGGACGTGCCTTTTGACCCAGGCCCTATTGGCCTTGAAAAGGAGATGGATATGCTTTTCTTCGATCCAGAAGGAACAGGATATGTAAGGCCCAAAGGCCGAGTTGCTTGACAACTTAAAGCGAGACATATTGTTCAAAAGGGATGGAAAATGGAGACTGTTGTTTGTAATCAAGAAAAGGAATGGAAAACGGAGACTGTTAAGTCATAGAACTTAAAGGATTGCTTGTTACCTTTTCTGATTATATAGGCGTACTCGGGTTTAGTACGTAAAAGCAATGTTCTGTATATTTAGAATGTTTGATGTTCGTGTGTGCGTGTTGGTGGAGCGTAGACTCCCCGCACACCCAGCGCTGTTTACTTGCCTTTTATAGCTTTTATACCTTTTATAAGTATAAATATTACTAGATTCAGATTGAGTTGAGACTTCCTTTATAACACAGCCAACCTGTTAACTGACCTGAAGCTTTCTGCCCTGTGGATGTGCTCAGCTGATACCACTGATATATGTTACACAGAGAATTAAACTGGCATAGAGGGAAGATGTGTGACTGGCATGGAAACAGGTTTCTGGTGTTTGCAGGGAGAAAGATTCAAGATTTATTCCCTGATTATAATGTGTATAATTTCCTATTTCTGCATCTTTCCAGATGGTAAAATCAATCTGTAGTATATAGGCAGTGAAAATTAATAAAGGGGGCAGACATGATCAAAGGGCATTTGCATATTAGACCATATATTTACTTATTTAGTATTTTGTCATATTTCCCTCTGGTATCTGCATGCTTGTTAGATGGTCCAGATAAGCAAGGAACACGTAGAGCAGGAGAAGGAGAATTATTATTCCATCCAAAGCTAAAGCCTTTCTCAAGTCTCTCTACAGCATCAAACAGTGCAAGCAGCACCTAACAAGCTGTGCAGGTGGGAAAATGAGGTCCCTTGAAAGAATACCATGTTGAGAAGGGTCTGCCAAAGAAGGTTGAGGAGTAGCAGAAGCTTTGAGTTGTGGTCTCTTTTGGTGGGATCAGTAGGTGGGATGTGTGTTGGAGCTGGTCACTGCCTAGGGTTAGGGACTGGGTTATGGTTCAGACATGAATTTGGGTTAGTGGTTGGAGAGAGAAAAGTGCAGACCTACTGTGTGAGTGGGGTGGCAAAGGGTCTGCCAAAGAAGGATGAAGTGTACCAAAAGCCTTTTGGTTTTGGGTAGTTTTGGGTCTTTTTGGTGGGCTTTCTGTGTGGGGTGTGTAATGGAGCTACTCACTGCCTAGGGTTAGGGTTTGGAGAAAGTGCAAAGCTTCCTGGAGAGTTTATGGTGTTTTATTTTAATGCAAGAAAATGTGTCTTACTTCACACCCTGTCCATCCGTGGCTAAAATCTTCACGTGTATAGATAGTCCTTACCATCTCGAGTTTTTTATGGACAGTTTCTGCTTACAGAGAAATAAAGTAACTGGTCAGAGTCCTTAGATAGATTTTTATCTAAAAACATGTCTGTATAACACAGATGCTTATGATTATCTTCTGGGCACCTTAGTAATAAGGGAAATTCTTCACTCGGAGGGCAGTGAGGCACGGCACAGGCTGTCCAGAAAAGCTGTGGATGCCCCATCAATGGGGCTAAAGTGTTTAAGGCCAGGCTGGATGGGGCTTTGGGCTACCTTGTCTGGTGGGAGGTGGTCCGCCCATGGCAGAAGGGGTGGAAGCAGGTGATCTCTAATGTCCCTTCCAACCCTTCTGTTATGCTATGATAATTGTAATTTTTATTTGAGTATTGCTGCTTTTTGAAAGTGTTACGCTTTTTGCTCTTGGTGTTGACTATACATGAATTTCACACCTTTTGTTCTTCAAAATTGCTTTTGAACACGTGGGTCTTCACAGCAGTGCTGAGGTGTTTTTTGCCACATGTACAGGTCTGGAAGGGCTTTCTGTGTGAGGTGGAGCATAAAATGAATAGGATGAGCTTCTTTCTGCTGGTAGGATAGACGGACACTGAGTGGGGGATCCCTCCCAAACCCCCGAGGCAGTTCCCTAGGCAGTATGTGGGAAGGAAACACCCAGAGACCTTATTGGTTCCTTTAATTTGGAGCATGGGGACTTAAATTCACTGCAGAGAGCAGTGGAGTGGTTTGCAGCTGGGCTGGGAAGAGAAGAGATCTCTGTGAGCTTTCAGCTTGCCCAGATCAGCTCTGCAAGTTGCAGATACATCAGAAGAGCTCTGTAAAAGGCAACTGAAAGTACTTGAAAGGTAAGAGAAGTGTTTTATTTTATTTTTTAACCTCTGACATTCTTGTTGTTTCTGAATGAAAAATCCATCTGTAGTACGTGTACTCTAAAGGTTTGAAAGCCTTACACAAACAGCAACAACCCTATGTTATGGGGATGTATTATTACTGCAAAACATGTAGTGTATGGAGCAGTAGTTAGTGTCACTCCTGGCTGAAGGGATTAAGGTTTAACAGGCTGTCTCTTCCAGTGGTATGAAACCTGCTGAAAGAAATGGGAGTTTTGCCATTGGCTTTATTGGAGGCAGGCTTTAACCTACAAATTAGTTATTTTAGAATGCTTGTTCCTGGCAA